AATATATATTCCCTGGTGATATTATGATGTTTAAGGAGGATGACTTGCACGAGGGTTTATCCCGTGGAAGTGCAATTATACGACTCCTGATTTACCTATGTTGAGCCAATTATGGCCAGGTCAAGTTCATGTGCAAGTAACAAATTATGATTAAGCAAGATGGGATACGGATCATGTGTAAGATTACCAAATAAGAGTGATTTGGTCTCATGGTCAATTACATAGTAATTAGGGCTCCCCAAGCTATTACTCCGTTATGATATGTTATGTCACACCCTTGATATGGTGTTGACCATTGATTCATCATGAGATATGACCACACCCATAGTGGTGTTGAGTCCGATATGACCACACCCAGCGTGGTGCAGGTCCGATATGACTACACCGGTAATGGTGGGTCCGATATGACCACATCCACGAGATGTTTGGTCCGTATTCCCGGGAGAGTAATTAGCATGGGAGTAGCCATGCGCCTATGATTAAAACATGATATGATGCATATGCATAAGTCAAGGTGATTGAGTCTTTTGCCTATTGGGATATGAGGATGGCTGAGGTCCGATCCTAGTGTTTTGGCTTGATTGTTAGATGTATGATAGGGGTATGCTTTATTATGAACTAACGATGCTATGATTATCTCACTCGGCTATGAGCTAACCCTCTTTTATTCTTCTTCTCTACTTATGCTATGTGTAAGCAGATCATCAGCAACAGCAGTAGATAAGTGTTAGGTGGGAGAGGAGCTAGAGTTGAAGCCAGGATGAGGTATGGTCTTCAACTACTCTGTGCTTGGATGACTACTCGGGATTTTGGCCAGTGATCCAAACCTTTTTGTAAAAATGTTTTGAAAACGTTTTTCATGTGAATACTAGCTTCTGATGTAGTGTGAGATATCCACAGGTGTGGAAAGTTGATGATATGTGTATATGTTGTGTAACTGTGTAAGTTGTGACGGTTATGGTATGTATAAGTATGGTATGCAGTTGTGGAGCATGAAAAGTGTGACTATGGCTAAGAAAAGCCAATGCATATGGTTGTGAGTATATATGTTTGTGATGAATTATTTTGCAGGATAAGTTGCAAGAACTGTTAGCCCATTACGCGAGTAATTCATGTCGAAATTTTATTTGGGTAAATTTTGATAATTAATGTAACACCCAAGATAAATTCCGCTGCAATTGTATGAACAATATGATTAGACAAAACGTATAGGGTAGGGTGTTACAGAATACATCTTTAAGCTTCATGATTTGGTTCCAGGACTGCAACCGATCCCTATTCTATTGAAGCCTGGTACCCATTCGAAATCTTCGTTATGATACTTGAGGTTTATGAGATGCCTCCACTAGGAATCAGTTTTGTTTGAGATCTCCATAGCCACTTGCAGAGAAATGCTTGGTTACGAATGCTTAAGTCAGGAACTCCAAGTCCTCCAAACTTTTTCGGCATCTTACAACACTCCCAGGACACCAAGTGCATTTTTTTCTAATCCATTGTTCTGGACCAAAGGAACCGCCGTTCGACCCTATCCATTTCAATGATTATCGATTTTTGAGCTTGGAACAATGTGCTCATATACACAGCCTGTGATGTTAAGACTAAATTAATGAGTGTGATCCTTCTGCCTAGAGAAAGATAATTCCCTTTCCAGCCTTCTAACCTTTGTTTCAGGTGATAATTGAGGTATTCCAACTTGTAGAAGAAAGGGGAGAAGCACCAAGGGGAAATCCAAGGTAGGTAGTAGGAAGAAATTCTCAGTCACAGACAAAGATCTTGGCAAATCAAGATGGGTTCGGAACATCTCCAATCAGATATAGTTTACTCTTTTTCATATTACCTTAAGGTTGGTGATTGACTCTCTACGACACAACTCCTAACAATGGCCAAGTGTAACCAATGGAAGGGACTGCAGTATAGTGGCTCAAGTAATAAATATCGAATCCACGAGTCTCTAGAGTTACTATTACTCAGCTTCAGTTCATTATTTAGCAAACCAGATTAATAAGGAAGAACTAAAACTACTCTAGCAAACTACAGTTAAAGTTAATCTAATTACAGGTTGGGAACTCACTTAGGTATGATTCCCCCTAGCCACTATCCAGATTAACGATTGATGATATCTAACTTGTTTCACTTTCATTCACAATGCGGAGAGTCCTTGACTAGACCTTGAGTCTCGACTAAAGGAACAAGGCCCTCTTGAGTCAATTGCCTAGAGGGACGTATCCTTCTCTAGAACAACCGATCAAGGCGTTCTGAACTAGATTCCCTCTATCGAATGAGGTTCTCAATCAATACAAAGCAATGAACCAACCCTCAACTAAAGCAATCGATCCACTACTATCAATCTATGGTGCTCTATTGACCTAATCAGGTATTCGCTCTCATAGGATCAAAGCAGAATCAATAATCTCAACTAAAGCAGAATTGAATCATGAAAACATGCATAGATTGAATATGAACTCAAAATTATCAAGTCAGAGTACTCATACAATCATCCAATCAAACAAACATAGCTAGGGTTCCTCAAAACCTAAGTGAAGGGAAGTTACTCCATAGATAAGAGAGAGACTGCAGTAAGAATCTCCAGATGATCAGTCTTCAAGTCTAGGCTTGTTCCTCGAGCTTCCAAGGCGAAGAAATCCTCCAATTCCACTCTTAGAATGCCCTCAAATTGCCCTCTCTCTCTCTTTTGTTCGTCCCTTGGGTGTTTGGGATCCAAAACCCAGCTCCCCCTTTCCTTTGGCCTCAATCTGCCTAAAAAACCCGATTCTGGGCAAAACACGGCCGTGTTATACTTTTACCCACCCGTGTTTTGCCCCCAGCAGCCCTCGTCGGCCAAAACACGGACGTGCCTAAATATGGGCACGACCGTGTTTTACTTTAGGCCAGCCCGTGTTTTTACTGCCGAACCTGTTCCCCTATATTCAATGCTTCGTTTCTCCCTCATCCGGACTCCGAATCAGTCGCCGTTTGATCCCAGACGCTCGTAGTCTCGTCCTTTTTATTTTCATGAAAAGCTTGCATGATTCTTTGTCCTTAAAGTGAGGTAGAAATCCATTCTTCTTCAGGTCATGCCCGAGTTTCTTCTCCCTAATCACCAATTAATCTCCGATTGACTTGAAACTTGCGCCTATGCTTCACTTTATGTGATAGGACCTTAAATGTGATAAAGGAACACAACCTAGCATAAAATAGGCCAAAGACGCGATAATTAAAGCTCAAACAGTCAAGAAACAAAGGGGAAAACATGTGCAAATATCGAGTCATCAGTGATGCTTTAGAAACAAACTAGCGCTGCCAAGACACTATTTAATTCATCTTCTGTAGCGTCACAGAAGACTATAGCATCATCTACGTACATAAGGTGAGTTACTTCTCCACGCCTACGAGTTTCGTCGATACAGAATCCAATTATGAAGTTTGCAATCTTGATTCTTTGCAAGATGAAGGATAAAACACTCATTACTAGGCTGAACAAGAGAGGATACAAGGGATCTCCTTGTTTAAAACCTCGCTCCATGCCAAAGAAGCTCGTTGCTTCTCCATTGAATAGGGTAGACAACTTGGAAGAAGAAACAATCCCCTTCATCCACTTCCTTATTTTTAGATTGAACCCCATAGATTCAAGCACATTGAGAAGGCAGCCCCAGTTGGCTGAATCGAAAGCCTTCTCAATGTCTAATTTGAGGACAATCCCAGCCTTCTCACTCCTTTGTCTGCTATCGATTAGTTCATTGACAATAAGACTTGCTTCGTGTATCTGTCTACCTTTAATGCCAGAGAATTGGAAGTGAGAAATTATAGATGACACAATCGGTTCAGTCTGTCGATGATTACCTTGGAGATGACTTTGTTTAGTCTTCTAATCAGACTGATTGGTCTAAAGTCTTTCAACTCCTCCACATTCTCCTTCTTAGGAAGTAGGCACGGAAACGCATGGGCAACTAAGTGTGGCAGCTCACCGGTTATGTAGAAGTCATCCAAAGCCTTCACCCAGTCGCCTTTAATAACGTTCCATCCTTTCTTGTAGATCTCAAGGGTGAATCCTTCTAGACCAAGGGCTCTATCACCGTTAGTTTTACAGATGACTCTCCAAATTTCATGCTCTGTGAATTGTTTAGTGATCTGCAAATTTTCATCCATACTAACCTTGAATAGATTGTACTCTTCGGGAAAGGGTCTGTTGTTATTATCCTCAACAAATCTGTCTCAAAAAAAATCAGCCACTGCTTCCTTCATTTCAGCCTTCTCTTCCAGTGATCTTCCTTCCACCTTCATTTTTCAAATCCATGAAGCAAACGAGGCCTAAGTCTCTAACTAAAGGGTCCCCAGCTAACGGAAGTTGGATGGAAAAAGTTACGTGGGTGCGTTTGTTAAAACTTCATTTTGAAATGAGTGTGAGTTAATAAAAGGCAAAATACACTTGTATAGCGTCAATCTCATACCTCTCTTTTCTTCTCCTTCCCTCTATTTTGTCTCTGTTTGAATGTGTTCGTGTTTATGCTCAAGCGTCAAGAAATTGTATTAGATTGCGTATATGTTCTTTTGGTTGTTTTGATTCTTGTTTTCGGCTAGTTTGAATGTGTCCTTCACATCTCCGTCGCATCACCACGCTGCCGGCGCCGAAAATCCGCTTCTCGCAGCAGGGGAAGAGGAAGAGTTGGAGAGAAGGGTGGTGGCCACTAGCGCTGGTGGGAGAGGATGTAAAAATAATTTTGATTTATTTATTTTTAAATTAAAATATGACATGGCATCTATGTGGCAAATGTTACTGAGTTGTCGATGATGTGTCTGGTGAGTTGGCAGCCAGATCATCTTTCCGTTAATTCAACTAACGGTGTCACTGACGCCGTCAAAATATGTAACGGAAATGACTATTATTGTCATCAAACTTTCAAATTTTTTATTATTTTTGGTATTTTCTCAAAAGTGTCTATTATTGCCACAAATTGATGAATTTTACCTTCGTAAATAGCAAAAGTTGATGAGCTTGTTAGCTACTCGAGACAAAGTAGAGAGGCTTAACCCAAAAGCGTAATAGTAACCCTAGTTTAGTTTCTCTTCCTCACGAATTTGGCTCTCTGATCTTCGTTGTCGATCGGATTTCAGAATGGTAAGTCTCTCCCCAAGTTTACTTCCGAGTTTCATCTTATTCATGATTCTGTAAGCTTAGATTATCTTACGCGGATTCGTTTTTTGTGATGGATACTGCAGGCGGATTCTCCTTCTCAAAGGTGAGGCCTCTCTGCTTTCGATCTCTCTGTTTGCTTTACTTCTGGATAATCAACATGCAATCAATCAATTCGTCTCCTCTCTTCCTCTTAAATGGTTTTGTTTCTTGGCCGCGCTCTACTGGCGGAGCTCTTCAGCTCGCTGTCCGCTCTCATTTTAATCGTTCCATTAATGTTGTGTATACCAGGCTCCACTTTTACAATTGTTGCTAGTGGTTTTGGTCTATGGCTGTTTTGGGAGATACTTCTCCATTGCTCACTTGTGAATTGCGACTTGGAGATAAATTTTGTGTATCTTCATTATTTTGTGTTGAGAGAGGTTGAAAACCTGATCTTGTATCGTTATACTTGAGTTGGTGTTTAGGATTTGTTTACACTTCTTAGTCATTACATGGTGATGATTGTACAAGGAACCACCATATATGAGCGCCTTGTGTATGTGATGTGCAGTCCATCTAGCTCTGTGCTGTGCCAGTTCTTTTGATGCCCTTAGCATTTTGCTGTGGCAGGAACTCACGGTCTCCATCTCCTTGGAGAGGCCAGTCAAGGTCTAGATCCCGGTCTAGGGCCAGGTCCAGGTCCAGGTCTAGATCATTGGACAGGCCGAAACATAGATCGCGCTCTCGCAGTCGTGGCAGGTACTCTTGATGGACTTCATTATTTCATTATTATCATTGCAGTTCATGTCCGCGCTAGGTGCGTTGGTACTTATCCTTTCTCCTTTGCTCTTGATGGCTGATTTCCTCTGCTTTACTGCATCCAGGAGTCGGGGCAGGTTAGTAGCTTCTCTGCAGTATTCTGCTTCAAGTGTATTTGCTTAATATGATAGACTCTCAGTTGTCATTAATATTCTGTCACATTTGTCAGGGTTGAGGCTGTTAATCCAGGAAACACTCTCTATGTGACTGGCCTCTCTACAAGGGTCACTGATAGGGAACTCGAAGATCATTTTGCAAAGGAGGGAAAGGTCTGTCTTCTTCCTGCATTAAACAGATCCATGGCGGATGTCTTCTTCATCTTCATACATTGTATATTTTCCTTCTGTATCTTCTATGTGCCTAACTGGAAAGTTAACTTATTTAATCTTTGCATATATGTTATTAAAGAAGTGTCTTTGGTTTATTAGGTTGCCTCATGTTTCCTTGTTGTGGAGCCCCGTACGCGCATTTCTCGTGGGTTTGCTTTTGTCACGATGGACTCTGTTGAGGATGCGAACCGTTGTGTTAAGTATCTGAACCAGTCTGTTCTGGAAGGACGATATATAACTGTGGAGAAGGTATTGTTACAGCCTGTGTTTTCAGCTTTAATTTATTTTCATTGTATATATCTTTTTGACTTAAGTGTTTTCAGGTTGTACTCAGTAGACATTGCATCAGCTTTTTCGCAGCAATCAAAGATGATCAATTCATCCATGTCAACTTAGTGAAACAGCCTGATCATGGAAAGCTGAAACAGCCCTTTTCAAATGCTTGTGATCAACTAACGTAGCAACTATATTGTTCAACACTATACCACTTCAGCATTCAATTTCAACTCAACTAATCAACGGACATTTCCAACAACTTTCTAATCAGGCTTTATGGTATTGGAAACCTGGAACTCATTTAATGGAAAACTATGTCCTGGTGCTTCTCCTTTTCTTTTAGTGGAAGACCTTTTCCCCCCTTCATTTTGGCTTTTCATTTGTATATATGCACCTGCATTTCCTTGACCATGCAGTCATGGAGCTTTTTGTGTTTCTGCTTGTTGGAAATGGGGGTTTCTATGTTGCTATTAAGAAATTGCTAGTCATGGTAAGAAAAAACAACTGAAGTAGTTTATCATTGACCTTGCAGTCTCGGAGGAAACGACCAAGGACTCCAACTCCAGGACATTATCTTGGTCTCAAGAACACAAGGGATGGTATGTTTAGCTCATAAACCTTACTTGCTGAGCATATTCGTAGCTGTGAATTTGATGTTTTAGTATCCTAACATAGTTGCATTTGGTGCTTTTCTAGAGGGACCTCGTGATCGTGATCGTGGTAGGTACCGAGGCGGTGGTGGAGGGGGTGGCTATGGTTATGATGATTACCGTAGGTCCCCGAGGCACGATGACAACCGTAGGTCTCCAAGGCGGTCCCCATATGGAGGTGGCGGTCGTGACTATTCTCCTCCTAGGCACTCTCCTTATGGCGGTGGGAGATCAAGGAGGTACCGGTCGAGGTCACCTTAAACTCCCTCTCGCTCTCATATTCTCTTTAAGTTTTCAGAGAGGATAACCATGGATGTAGCCATCCAGTCCAGACCTGCGAGTTAGTGCCGATAGGGGGAGAGGTGTCTGTACTTGTTTGTACCGAGTTTGAGCCGGGTTGTAGTGAACAGGAGGATTAGCCTTTTCATGATGTGGATTTTTCTGTGTTGGTGTAACCCAAATATACTGTGGCTGCAGTCGTTATGCCAAGTTGCTAGACAGCTGCTCAACAGCTCAGCGCTTTGTCTTTCATTATTAGCCTGGAAGCGTATGATTTGTTTGGTGTGTTAGGGTCTCAGGTTGTCGTCCGGAGAGTCGGGTTTGCTTAAAGCGATGATCAGCATCTTGTGCCTTTGAAGGAGCCTTCTGCTTCAGTTGCTGCTCATCTTTTACTTAATCCAGTTTCTGGCAATTAGATCATCCTATCAAAATCGCGAGCTGCAGTTGAAATAGGTGGGTTCTGGTTCTGGAAAAGAAAATCCTTCGATCGCTCTTAGGTGTAATGAACTGCATACTTGGAATCAATTGAACTTTCGTTTATCCTTTTGCTGTCAAACGTGTAACTATTGCCGAAAAGAGACTAACGGTGAAGTGAAACTTGGTCTCTAGCTAGTGACCCGCATTCCGGTCTGCTTTGAATAATTCAGGATTTCAGGTTGTACCTACTGATACGCCGATTAGCTTTCAGGCCCATTTATCTGTTCAAATTATCATTCTCAATTGTTTGATTTGATAGGAAAACTGAATTATAGATTTTATACGTTAGTTTACATGCCTCTCAAAGCTCAAATGAAAACCACTTACACGTTTAAAATTTACACAAACTCACTTTACTTTATGTAAACCTAGAGAGACTTTTATTAATGAACCAGCACTGTTACAGTATCCAGCTTGAGCTGGTCAGAAATAAAATCAGGAGGTCTCTCTAACCATACCATACGCTCATTCCACCTCGTATCAGATTGAGCCATCAAGTGCGCGGCCATGTTTGCAGATCGGGGACAATGCTTCCAGATCCCGTTCCCCATCTCTTTTAGGATTCGGCGAATATTACGGCAAACAATCCCTAGCTCAGAGTGATTCCCCTAGACATCATGCAGGGCACTTACAAGATTCAAGCAGTCAGTTTCCACCACTGGGGTTCCCACCTGCAGTTGGGACGCAAGTTGAACTCCAAACTCGACTGCCAACCCTTCTGCCATCTCAACCGTCCATGCCCTCGGGGTCCGTTTTGATGCAGCAAAAACATACTTCCCTTCGTAATCGCGCGCCACCACTCCTAGCCCGACACCTCCGTTTGGTAATATACTCGCATCAGTGTTAATTTTAACTTTCCCAAAGTTTGGTTTCATCCACCACCCTCCTCCTTCAGCCACCATCTCGTCCCGCTTCTGTTGTTGGTGTTGCTTATAGTCCATGAGAAAGGCATGCGCTCGGTGGACTATTTCCATCTCTTCCAACTGTTTCCCATTGAACATATGCGCGTTTCTCTCCTTCCACAAGAACCAGAGAAGCGCGGCTGATAGAACCTGTTTCTAGGATTCTATCGGGAATTGGGGATTTAGGGATTAAGAACAGAATTAGGGATTTGAAAAGAGAAAGATAGAGAATCGGCCTATGCCTTTAGAGGGATTGGGAACGAGAATTGAGAGGATTGGAAAATACGGTTTTGGAGTGTTTTCTAATTATTCTTCTTGACTCCTTCTAATGAAACCACAAAGTACATATTTATAGGAAGAGATAGGAAAACCCTAATAATAAACCTAATACGATTAGAAGACTACTAAACATAATAATAATAATCCTAATAATAATATTAATGATAAATAGGATAGAACACGAAAATTGTGTTTTTATCATCTCCTCCCCCTTAAGACCAACCTTGTTCTCAAGGTTGATCAACTCAACCCACTTCTCCATCCTTCTCGCGCATTCTAGGTGTGGACTCCTCTGCTTTCGTCGCTTCCTTTTCTTCCAATTAGGCTTAAGCTCACGATGACCCCCCGGATCCCACAGCTTCAGCTTCCATCAAAGCTTCCCCAACTGCGTGACACAAGTCATCATCTCCCTGACCAATCGACACTACATCCTCTCCCTCAAACTCCACGAGATAAGAATCTGGGAACTTTGCTTTCTCGGGGTCTTCATCACCAACCGAAAAATGTAGCCAATGTCCCTTCATTTGTATCCTTTGCATGGAATCTATTACCAAACCCATGGGCCCAAACACGCAACTTCCCTTCACTAATTGCAACAACCTCTTTCTTTTAGAGCTTAGGGGTACTTGATGATTATCGAGGCTCAAAAGCTTATAACTCCATTCAGGTTGGGCCATCTCAGTTGCAGAGCTAGAAAGCTCCTTGTAATGGCTAAGTATTCGCCTAGCAGGTCTTCCCTCCTCAGTTCCCTCTTTACAATTGCGAGTATCTCATTCCCATTCGATAGCTCTATTCCACTTCCCGGAACTAGTCGAATCGCTAACCAGTGCAGCCCCCAAGCTCTTCTGCGAGGTGTGATCGACATCATTCCACTCCCCTCCAAACTTCAGCCCAATATGCTTGTTCGTTTGGCCCAGAAGAAATCCACCAGGCTGTCCCGCAATGAGCCCAACAAGACTCTTCGCACGGTCAGGCATGCTTTCCATTGGCTCATCTTTCCCTCTCCGATGTGGCCTACCTATTTCCAACCTTTTTGCTTCGCAAGCTGGCCCACGCGAAACCCTCAAGGCCCAAGGCTCAGAACCCCAATTGTTGTAGGGTTGCACTGCGGTAAGAGAGGAGCTGCCGTCTCTTCCCTTCTCGTCTTCAATCATCGGTCGTGCCATCTTCCTTGCCATCGCCGGCGATGCTTCCTTCGTCGTCTTCATCTCCGACTCCACCTTCCTGGTCTTCGTCATTACAAGGGTGGCTGCCAACAAACCTCGCGCATTTCGCGTCGACGACAAGATGGCCCGGGGCAGTCCACGGCCCCGCCCACCTCCGCCAGACCCTTCTCCTCGCCGCGGCGCCATTCCGACGCCGGCGTTCCTCCTTGGACGATCGATGTTGCGCCGAGCGCCGCGCCTCTCCCTCCACCCTCCTGCGCCACCGCCGCCGGCACGTCGGCAGTCACCATGGCCTGCGGCGCCTCACGCGGCGGCTCCTCCGCCATTGTTTCCCGAACCCAAGGCCATCTCTGGGCCTTTGTCTCTTCTTTCCCATTTTCCAATTGACCCTGCCATTCCTCATCAGTGAACCTCTAATTGGGGTTTCACTTTCTATAGGTTTTACCTTGGAGATCTTTTCCCGCGTCAAATTCGACTCTTTTTCCGACTTTCTTGGCGGTGAACAGATTCTCCAACGAGAAATCTCGCCTGCTCCCCCCGTTGTCTTCGACTCATTCTCGCCGCACGACGCCGACGAGGAAGCTGATACTAACTGCCTCCGTGTTTGCGCCGCAAATGGAGTTGTCGAGGTCGATGCGGCGGACTTCGATTTTCTGTGGGCCACAGCCGCGGCTCCACCCTTTGCCGCTGGAGATGGCATTTGGCCGCGTATAAAGTGATGAAAGTCATTGGCGGCGTTGGTGACTCAGTGCTCGAAACGGCAATGACGGCTACTGATGATGGCGCCATTATCTCCGCTGGGGACAAAGCCTTGTCGTTGATGGTTGGCGGTTCGATCATGGTGATGATGCTTTTGATGGCAGCGGTGGGTGGTGGTGGTGACTACGTTGCGGCATTGGTGGTCAGCTGCTCCGCCACCAGAGCCTCGTCGTTGCCCGGCCGCGGCGCGCCCCTGGCCGTCCCGCGCGGCAGCGCCTCCCCGCGCGCACCCCTTCCACCGCCAACTGGATCACCGGCCCAGTAGCCCCGAACGGCGGCGCCACCGAGCACCCCACCGCCGCTGCAGCCTCCACGTCCCGCGCCTGCTCGCGCGCTATGCGAGCTTGATCAGCTCGTATGGCGTCAATCATTTGTTTCACATAGGTCCAGTCCAAATCAGAGAGCCGAATCGAGCTCATGACGGCTCTGATACCAAATGATAGAACCTGTTTTAAGGATTCTATCGGGAATTGGGGATTTAGGGATTAAGAACAGAATTAAGAATTTGAGAAGAGAAAGATAGAGAATCGGCATATGCCTTTAGAGGGATTGGGAACGAGAATTGAGAGGATTGGGAAAATAGGGTTTTGGAGAGTTTTCTATTATTCTTCTTGACTCCTTCTAATGAAACCACAAAGTACATATTTATAGGAAGAGATAGAAAAACCCTAACAATAAACCTAATACGATTAGAAGACTACTAAACATATTAATAATAATCCTAATAATAATATTAAGGATAAATAGGATAGAACACGAAAATCGTGTTTCTATCAGCGGCCCATTCCCCCAGCGTCTCATCCTCCACCGAACCACTTACATTCTTCAGCCATGTATGGCATGAATTCCCATGGCTCGTATTAAAGCACGAAACTAGCTTTGAAGGCCTCCATAAGCGAGTTGTCCACTGGCACTCATAGAAGAAGTGAATTTGGGTCTCCTTCTCGCTACAAAACGCACATCGGTCCCCACGTCTCGAGCCCTTAATACTAAGGTGATCACCAGTAGGGAGAATATCTCGAGCAAATTTCCAAAGAAAATGCTTCACCTTGGGCGGTATCTTCAAATACCACATCCTCTCCCACACTACCTTTTCATCCGCTCGAGGCCAGCTTCCCTGATCCAGTCGATCTTGTGCCCACTTCAAGTACCCTTCCTTCACCGTATATTCACCCATTGTAGTTAGAGCCCATATTAACCGGTCGCACTCCCCTAGATCTCGGAGAGGAGACAGTCTCACTGGGGAAGCAGTTTTCCAATAAATTGACATCCCATCGTTCCTCATCTTCACAAATCAGCTCCCTTACAGTTGAATCAACCGGCAGGCCACGTGGGGCTGACTCGACGTAGCTGACAACTTCTGTAGGTAGCCATTTATCCCCCCAGATTCTCACGCTCGACCCGTTGCCAATCCTCCATCTCAATCCCTCATTAAGGAACTCCTGAGCACTTAACAGGCTGCGCCAAATGAAGCTAGGTTGGTGGCCAACTCGTGCTTCCAAGATAGACTCCTTATTGTGGTATTTCGCACGAAGGATGCGAGAGATAAGGTAGTCTTCTCGTTGGTAGAGTCGCCACATCTGCTTAGCCAATAGCGCAGTGTTAAAACCCACCAAATCGCGCATTCCCAAACCACCATCATCCTTTGCCGCCGCCATTCCTTCTCTGCTTACCCAATGTACACGCCTCTCCGAGCCTCTTTGCCCTCAGTAGAAGTTAAGAATCATACTGTAGACTTCATTGAGGAAACCATCCGGGACTAAAAAGACCGACATGGTATATGTAAACTGTGCTTGGGCCACTTCTTTGATAAGGGTTTCCCTTCCCGCCACGGATAGCACTCTTTCCTTCCAACCCTTAAGCTTCTTCCGAACTCTTTCCTTAATTCCCTAAAAAATATCCTTCTTCGACCTGCCAGCTACAGTCGGCAGACCTAAATATTTCTCATGCTTCTCAACCATCTGCATCCCTAGCGTACCCGCGATAGAGAGCTTCTGTTGTGCACTGACATTGCCACTAAAAGAGACTTCTGACTTCTGGAAGCTGACCAGTTGGCCCGATTCCCTTTCATAGGCTTTCAGAATCTCTTTAAGTGACAAGCTTTCCTGGGTATTAGCCCTGCCAAAGAAAACACAATCGTCAGCGAAAAAAGAGGTTAGTCATGGTCGGCCCCTCTCTAGCCGGTTGAATACCATGGATCTTTTTCGCCTCAGCAGCCTGCCTTGTATACGCGGAAAGGCCCTCCGCGCACATGAGGAAAAGATATGGCGAAAGTGGGTCTCTCTATCTTAGTCCTCGGCTAGGTGTGAAGCTTGGTGACTGGTGCCCGTTAACCAGAACTGAGTAAGTGACTGTCGTCACACACATCATGATCTGTTTCCGCCATCTCTAAGAAAAACCCATTCGTGCCATCACTTCATCCAGGAAATGCCACTCAACTCTGTCATATGCTTTGGCCATATCGATCTTTGCAGCAAAAAAACCATGGTTACATCGCTTATTCTTCTTCTTCATCGTATGGAAGCATTCAAAAGCTGCCATTATATTATATGTGATGTATCGGCCCGGGACAAAAGCACTCTGCTCTGGAGAGATGACCTGGTCTAACACTTGCTTCAGTCTGTTAGCAAGTAATTTTGCCACTAGCTTATAAATCACATTACACAGACTTATCGGTCGGAATTCCTTTGGTGAGAGTGGCACCTTTACCTTCGGAATTAGGGCGATAAGGGTGTGGTTCAGCTGGTCCGACATCTTTGCAGTCTCTTGAATCTTCAACACAATCCATGATACTTCATCCCCAATGATGTTCCAGTACTTCCGGTAGAAGAACACTGACAACCCATCGGCACCAGGCGCTTTTCTCTTACCCATCTGCTTCAAAGCATTCAACACTTCTTCCTTCTCAAATGGCCGATCAAGAATAGCCATTTGGTCCAGGGAGATTGAGCTCCTTATGGAGTCGAGCACTGGGGTGCTTTGAGGAACCTCCCCTGCAGTAAATAAGCCGCCAAAATAGTCAGTTAAACAAGTGAACAACTGGTCCAATCCCTTCACCCATCGGCCATTCTCGCCCTGCAAATTTTTGATCGTGTTACGCCTTCTCCGAGCGGTAGCCTTTCTGTGAAAGAAATCTGTATTCTGATCTCCTACCTTCAGCCAATCCGCTCGCGAGCGCTGCTTCTAGTAGGATTCTTCATTGCTCTCCACCTCGTCCATCTCCTGTTCCAATTGTATAATCTGGTCAGCAATTATCTGTGTACGCTCCACCCTTCCCAAAGCCTCCAATGCACGGCGAATGCGGGCCTTCTGTTTATGGAAATTTGGGAAAGCACGCCTGCTCCACTGCTCCAAGTGAGATCTACAAAACAACAATTTCGTTAGACAATCCCCCTGGTTTGGCTGACCCCAAGCTTCCTCAATAGTCCGTCGGCAATCCTCATGACGAGACCAAAAGGGATCAAAATGGAAAGATCGGCCCCATCGTGGCTCCTCATCCTCCTCCCCTTTCGTGTCACACAACATTGGTCGATTGTCTGATCTTTCCTTCGCCAGATGTGTAACTCGTGCCTGGGGGAATGTAGCTCTCCAATCATCCGAGGCAGTAAATCGGTCCAATCTTTCTTCTATGAATCTGCCACCAACACGTCTATTTTCCCATGTAAATTGGTGGCCGTTAAACCCCAAATCTTGTAGTCCCGCATCCGTGAGGCACGATTGGAAATCATTCATCTCGTGATCCACAACAGCTCTTCCCACATCTTTTTCAGTTGGTGACAAGACTTGATTAAAGTCCCCACCACAAAGCCAGGCACCCGTCCATTGCTCTGTCAGACGGTCAATTACCTCCCAAGTTTTATACTTATCTTGAGTCTCCGGCCAGCCATAGACTCCCGAAAACCTCCAAACAAACCCATTATCTTCCACAACCCGAGCATCGATGTGATTAAAAGAAAGAGACATAATGATAACATTCATCCCTTCCTTCCACCAGTGGCTTATCCCGCCTGCTCTACCTCCGTGGGAATGATCCGTAGACCAAGAATCCCCTTCCTCGAACCCAAGCTCTCTCCTAGTACTTTCATTTTCTTCCTTTGTTTGCTTAGTCTCCATTAAGAAAACTAATTGTGGGGTAACTCGTTTCATAAGCGAATCGAGTGACTTAACTGCCCGCTTCTTCCCCAATCCGCGGCAGTTATAACTGAGGATTCTCATTTATGACTCGAAGGGGATCGGTTCCCCGCACCATTCTTCTTCATAGTATGATCTTTTCCATGGTCTCCTCCTTTTCCTTTACCATTTTTATCTATTCCCAGATCCTCATTGCCCGGCTGGTCGTGTCGCGGGTGATTCTTTTGCTTCCCGTCCACCACAACTTTTCCCTGGACTATCATCCTACTATTGTTTTTCGTTGTTGGCGGGTTCTGGCTGGTCGACGGTGCCTTTCGCTGTGAGATTTCAGCTCCTTCCCCATCAAGCGGTTGGCTGTGTTCCTCCCGATCAGTTGGTCCATTCGACTTCCTATTCTCATCCTGTTTGTAGGGCCCCCTAGCTCCATCCTTCTTCGTCTTATTTTCTTTTGTTGTTGGTACCCTCTCATTCGTGCGTGCATGGCCATGCAGTGCTTCTTTCTCTGAATCCAACATAGAAAATCGATTCCCATTATTCTCTTGACGGTGGGTGCCCATGTTGCTCATTATGGGTTTTGTATTCCTCTTGCTCGGTCTCCTATCTTTCCTTTTCACAGTCATCTACTCCCCAAACGCCTAACCTTTACTCGGATCCTCCTCCTGAGTTTCTTCTACCATAACTACTTCATCATCGGCGGCTACAGGTTCCGGTGATCGGTACGAGCACTGGCTTGCCGGTTTGCCATAGGAACCACATTGATCGCAAATATTTTCCAGCCTTTCATACTGGATCATGTACTTCTTTCCTTCTATACTGAACTTTCCCATGAGGGGTTTCATTAAGTCAACTTCCATGCAAACCCTTGCATATTTTGTTCGTGCTCCCAACTCTGTCGCACAGTCAACTCGCACCGGTTTCCCTATCTTCTCCGCAATCATCCTAACCGCTTCTCGATTATAGAACTCGACTGGGATATCTGGTAGTTGCACCCACACCATCCCTCTCGCTCTTCTCGTTCGGCGAGGAGGTTGCTATCGGGGGACGCCTAGCCCCACTAGTAGAGTCCGGAGGCTTCTTCAGTGGCGTCGCCGTAGCGGATGGCGTAGCCGCCGCCATCAAAGAGCACGGGGAAACCCTAGTCGCCGCTGTGAAAAGAAAATCGCCGCGCCGAAATCTATTTTCCTCTATGAGTGTGTACTCTTTACCAATCTCGAATTTCTCTTCGGCCTTGTTTCATTAATATTGAAAGAGCATTTAAATCAACTATTAATGTTGGGAATTGTGGATATTTGAACAAAAGATCAATTGACAAAAATTTGATCTCTTAATAAAAATCAGATATGATGTCATGTCAACGTACGACACAATGAAACCAACTCTCTAATTAAACAGAGACTAAACGGGTCGCAAAAAGTAAGAATCCCGAGACATTGCCTTTTCAATGTACAAAACATCCATTTATTAATTATTGGCGTTACTAAGATGTTTCACCCGAGATCATCAGCGTTATTGTTGTCTGATTACAAGTAAAGCATATGCATGTCATCAATAAGCCATTCATGAAAATAACGTATAGTTAGGGCTGGCCATTCGGTTATCGGTTGCTGGTTAACCGACTGGTTAAACCAATAACCGAAAAGTGGGGTTGCGGGGCTAGCCATGCCGGTTAACCGGCTAACCGGCATGACTAGCCCCCTCTCAAGCAAAACGCCGCCGCCCAGATTACTCCCTAAACCCTAATCGTCATCGAGCACCAGCAGACCCTCAATCCCTCAATCTCTCATTCTCTTCTACAGCGTTGCGAGAGCCGAGCCCGAGAGTGGAGAGCCTCCTGCCGGCACCACCTGCTGATGTCGCCTGCCATCGCGAGAGTCGAGACCCTTCGCCAACGCGAAGTCGCCGCCGCCCGCCAGCCATCCCCTTCCTTCCGCCGTCGCGAGCCCGCGACCTCGCCTCGGCCTCCTCTGCTCGCCGGCGCCATTCGCAACCAGCAGTCCGCCGACGCCATTCCAGAACGGCGACCAGTGCCCCTCTACAGTAGCCACTGAATTATGTAAGTTTACTTTGTCTTTCTAAAAGTATATGATTTGGTTCTCATTTCCAATTAGTATATAATTTCAATTGGTGAAGCTTGCTTGAATGAGATGAGATGCTCATCATAATTGTGAATCCCATGTTTTGGTATATAGAGGGACGGAGGGAGGAGGAAGGGGAAGGAGAGTGAGGGAGCGCCATTGTTGTTGAGGTTTTTGTTTCTGGGTTTTGAGGGAGAATAAGGACTTGATGAGTTTTGGGATGGGTTAATTTATAAAGGAGATTAATGGAGGTGGTGGTTAATTGGTCGTTGGGAAGAATGAGAGAGTGGGGAAGTTGAGATTGGATTGTGGAAGTTGGGAAGTTGTAATTTGGGAGGGTTTGGGAATTTATACTACTTGGAATTGAGATCGAGGGCACAATTCAGTAGCTAGGAATTGTAATTTCAATTCAAACTCTTTCTGCTAATGATAAGACTTCTTTTCTTCGTCAGTTCTTTGTTTCAAATAATGTTGTACAAGTCTTTTTATGCTGCTTTTTCACTGCTCTTTTGCTCTCTTTGCTCTTTGGGTCTCAATTTTTGTAATTGTTTTTGTAGGGTGAGACCTCCGACTCCTCGTGGCGGACGTGGCGGACGAGGTGTCCCTACTGCTGCTACTGCTCCTCGTGGTGGAAGACCTCCAACGATTCGAGGTCGTGGTGGTGCGAGTGCTCCTGTTCAGACCCAGGGTCGTGGTGGGCGTACAGGAAGTCGACCTGTTCAACGACCTGAAGCTGAACCGTCTTCATAAACTCCATCGATTCTCGCCCCTGTCGATAGTGGAAGTACACCTGCCGGTACACCTGTCGAGACTCCTACCGAGACTCCTTCTATTGACACGGGCGCTCCTGATTCAGAGACAGCTACATGAGACATTTTTTACTGCGAGAAATGGTTGAAGACGGTGGGTAAAGCTTCTTGTTGGAAGGTGTTTAAGAAGTTGATAGTTGACAGCTACCCGATGGGAGAGTGCATACACTGTCATACTCTAATTAAAGCTCATCCTCACAAAAATGGGACCACTGCAATGAATAGCCACATGCACTCATGTTTGGCTAAGTTGGCAGCAAATAAAAATCAGACAGTATTGCATACATCAGAAGGTGGTCAAGAAAGTGGTTAATGGAAGTTTGATCAGGGAAAGGCTAGATATGCATAAGCCAGTATGATCATTATGGATGAATTATCATTTCGCTTTGTGGAGAGGGAAGGATTTAAGCAATTCATGTCTTTTGTTCAGCCACTATTTAGGATACCCGGGAGGAAAGCTATAAGAGATGACGGCTTTCATATCTTCTTGGATAAAAAGATGGATTTAATTGATTTATTTTAATCAAGGAGCCAAGGAAGAGTTTCAATCACTACGGATACATGGACTTCTGATAACAATAAGAATTACATGTGTGTTACTGCTCACTTTGTTGGAGGTGATTGGAAGTTGAAGAAGAAGGTGATAGCCTTTGTTCCCATCACAAGTCATACTGGAGTTGATATTGCAGAGAAGCTTGCAGAAGTTCTTGAAGAATGGAAGGTGAAGAATTTGTTATGCATGACCATGGACAATGCAACTTCAAATGATGTTGTCAGTGAGTGCATGATAACGAAGCTAAAGGAGTGGGGGTGTGATTTGATGGATGGGAAGTTTCTACAGTTTCGATGTGTTGCACACATCATTAATCTGGTGGTACAAGATGGACTGAAAGTGGTTGGTGGTGTTGTGGAAAGAGTTCGGGTTGTGTGAAGTGGGTGAGGTCTTCACCAGCTAGGTTGTTACGATTCAAGAATGACATGGAATTTCTGCATGTGGAGTCAACCAAACTGGTGTTTTTGGATGTACCGACCAGACGAAACTCCACCTATACCATGTTAGAGTCAACAGAAAGTTTTTAGGCAGTGTTTACAACTTTGTATTCAAGTCCACACGATCATTATCTTAGAGATTATCTGGACTCAAGAGGTGGGCTTTCAACTAATCAAGATTGGTAGATGATTAGGAAGTTGAGAGACTATCTGAAAGTCTTCAATGACTTGACCCTTCTAGTCTCTGGTAAGTGAAATTCCTGAACTGCATTGTTTAATTTAAAAATTTTAATGATTTGCCCATTTCTATTTGTGTTATTCTAATCTTCTAGTGGTACCTTCTCATTGTACAAGAACTAAATATGTGACTATTTATATCTTTTTCAAGAAGCTTGTTACGGTATATGACATCATAGAGAAATTGAAGAAGGATCCGCTTAAAGAGATCCAAAAGATGGCTGAGAAGGTTGAGGAAAAGGTACAAAAGTATTGGTTTGAATCATGTGTCGTGAACGAGAAGAACATGAAGGTGAACCATTTACATAGCATGTGTGCTTGATCCAAGAAGTAAACTTGATTTGGTGTCCGAGGTTTTGGCAATGATGTATGGGAATGTGAAGGGAGGAGAAATGGTTGACTGCATTAGGAAGGACATGCGACAGCTGTTTGAGATTTACAAAGGGAAGTATGGATCAAAAGCACCCTCCTCTACATTTGAGCCTACCACTGGTGAAAGCACGGCTGGTGGTAATAGGATTAAGCAGCTAGAGGAGAGGATTAGGAAGAGGAAAAGGGAAGCACTTCTGCAGGATACAGGAGGTAGCTCTGCTGAGCTTGACATCTATTTAAGATGTCAAACTGATGGCATCAATGAGGAGAGTGATGATGCCAAGTTTGACATCTTGAGTTGGTGGTCTCGACACTCTGGAACATATCTGATTCTTGTTAAGATGGCTAACGATATCCTAGTTGTTCCCATCTTTTCTGTTGCCTCAGAGGCAACCTTCAGCTGTGGCGGTCGGATTTTCAGTCCATTCAGGTCTTCTTTGAGTGATATCATGTTGGAGGCATTGATTTGTGTGGAGGATTGGATAAAGCATCAAGATGTTGGGGCCGGAGATAATGACAATAGGGAAGAAGATGAAGAGATCATGGATTTGGAAAGCGGTAAGTTCTAAAACTCTTTTAATTATTGTTTGTTGAAGTAAACAAATACTATTTCTTTCTACCTAATTCAATGTAGGAATATTCTAACAATTTGTTTTCCTTTTTCTTACTCAGTTAATACCACTTTCCAGTCTAGAATGAAAAGTGCAAGAAGTGATGTTGGCAATGTTGCCAATGCATATGCAAGTCAGAACATTCCAGATGGGAATGAGTAGGAGAAAGATTCCTACATTGCCGGAGGAAGAGTATGAGAAAGATGGATATGAAGATGTTGGTCATTACCTCTTGCCACTGAAAGAAAAGGGTTATGTAGATGTTGGTTCTTTTTCGGTTGATAAGTGATGAATTGATGGTGACTTGTAATTTGTGACTTTATGAAGTTTATGATTTTATGTTCTAGTATTTGAGACATTAATTTGGTGATTTAAATCTATTTTGTATGCAAAAATTATTGAAACTTGACTTGTGGAGTGATTTAGATGTAGAAATGTTTTTAATTTTAGGCAATTTGTATCGATCTCATTTGCATAGGGGTGTTGTCCGGTTCGGTTAAACCGGTGTTCATTGCGTCTCGTGGTTACTTCGGTTAACCGAGCAACTAACTGGTAATCAACCGGTCGGTTGCCAGCTTCCGTCGGGCGGTTGGCGGTAACCATTGGTGGCGTCGCGGTTAACAGGTAACAGACATTTCGGTTATCGGTTATAACCAAACTAACCGAAAATCCAGCTCTACTGACGGTATAGTTAATATATAGCGGCCGGACAAATTAAAACACACCACTTAATTAACTCCCTTTGACTAGCTTTGTTCCTTGTTGGTTGACTGTGATAAAGAAGAAGAGCTAGCTTTGAACATGGCCGCAGAAGAAACTTAATAATTCCAGCCTAGCTAGCTAATTGATCAAAACGCGAGGCGAGGACAGAATCTAAATTAAAACCAGAGTACACAACACAGTACAGTACAGTACACACCAGAGCAGTAATTAATTAGACCATGCACGTAGTACTAAACACGGAAACAGTAAAATTACGACTCTCGACTCGATCGACAAACGAGGCACTATAGCTACTACGTACGTACCATAAAACAACAACGTTACAAACACATGCATGCACACTGTGGTGATGACACTTATCTTAAAACAACATTAATCAACCTTAAATCATTATTACGCTACGCTACTCCCGTTAACTAAGGACACGGGAGAAGGCCGCCGGCGGCTGCACCGCCGACTCCGATCCCGCCGTAGTGGACCCCACCCAGCAGCGGAAAGCCGCCCACGAACCCAGCGTACCCACCAACGCCGCCCCCGTATATGAAGTTCTTCCCCTCCTCAACCCCAGCACCACCGCCCGGCGCCGGCGCCACATCGAAAGTCGAGGTCTGCACCAGTACTGCGTCGGCCGCGGCCTTGGGTATGCATGGTAGAAAAGTCTTCTGGTCGGCGGCCGCAGCGGTGGTGGTGGGGACGGGTCTCGCACTTGCATGGACGAGCCATGCGAAGAAGAGGAGGGCGAAGAAGGAGGCGTAACGCCTTGCCATTGTACAACTAGATAGAATATATTGCTTTGTGTGGGTGCAAATGCATGCAATGCAATATAACAATATAATGAAAGGTGATGGGAAGGGGATTGTGTATTTATACTATAGATAGGAAGGGAAGGGAAGGTGGGTGGCGGTTGAGAGGCTAATAAATGAGAATGCGACATTAATTACTTGGTGCATGTCACGCCGTCGTTTCTCGATGCTGTAACGGAATTTAATTTGGGGTTTTGGGGGAGGTGTACTACTTACTGTAAGCCATGGGATCAATATAATAATAATAATAATAATAATAATGGAGTGAGGTAGCATCAAAAGAAGTGAGAAATTAATTATCAAGGTGGGGAGGAGTGAAATGGAAATTAAGGAAGAGGTGTGTGGCTCTGGCGTGACGTGGTGTCGATCAAATAACTTACTTAATTGCCACAAGGAAAGAAGGTGGATTGATCTGATGAAGGCAGCTGCCAGCTGGTGGTGTAGAAATAGATCAAACGTGGATTAATTGATATGCATGGCGATAACCTGTCCTTTATGGATTGGATTGGATTGGTGAGCAATCAAATCTCCCATCCCATAGTTAATTTTTCACTACTCTAGCTACTTAATTGAATGCGGCGGTGTGGTGGAAAGATGAATCTATTGTGAGGGTTAATTTGCATGTCGTGGGATTTGTCCGTCTGGCCGGCGGCACCCCAAACTGCCCTATCCATCTACTGTACGTATGTTATGTATCAAATTAAAGGACACACTGCCCCATTCCCATTGGCCTCTTCCTAATCATTAATCAAGGCTCACTTTTATCAACTGGAATAGAAATGTTGTTTCCAGTGAAGGATATATAATAATATTCAATCTCCATCTTACTCAGGGACCAAGTTTGAAAATTAAGTATAAAGTATATCGGTATTTTGAATTTTCGTATTAACTAAAGCCATTAGTAATGTGCGTCAATCATACTTGAGGTAAGCTAGCCCAGCGGATGGGCGGGTTCAAAACCCAGCAAGCACTGAAATTTTTGTTTTTGTTCCTTTTCACTACCAATAGTTACTCGATTAATTTTTATATTATGATTCTTATCAATTTTAGTACGTATCAACAATTAGTCGATTAATTTTTATCTTATGAACATAAGTTCCTTTAATTTCAAATTTAAGTTTTATGTTCCAATAATTATCCATTCAACTTTTATCTTATGTTGATATCTTAATTTTGTCAATTTCAATATGATTCCTTAAGCCCTTTAATTTCAAGTTTCAAATGTTAAAGAATACTTTCGGGTGAATAATTCAAATTCTTTATAAAATACTAGACATTGATTTTCAGGTATGAAAATAGAATGTGTTACACAACATTGAAATGTATTATTAATTTGTTGATCATTTTCAATATATATTGTAGCACGATAGAAAATTTAAGTTTATATCTTATTTTGAGTGACTCTAATCATCTAAAATTATGATCATAATGCTTATAAAAAATAAATGATCATAATAATATTAAAATATATTTTTTGATTTAATTGTCTTCTCAAGGTTAAAAAAAAAATTTGGCCCCCCGAACGCGGAATCCTAGCTCCGCCCCTGATCTTAATTAACACTATAAATAAAAAGATTGAGTGTTAAATATGCTTGAACCTCTACGATATATTTGGGTAAAACAAGTATAATTAATAAGGATAAAAATAATAATCAAAGGATTTTGTATCTTATGTCGATGGTGTAAAATCTACAGAAACCACCTTTATTATAAGGCTTAAGTAAGCAATTGGTGTAAAAAGTCAGTTGTATGGTATTTTATGGTTCAATCATTTCATATTTCTAAAAACCGTCTATCGATTTATGCTTTGATAGGCGGATTTCTCGATCGGACCACCAATATGAATATGATACGATTTTACAAACACTCTTTCATAAATATATATATATAATTACTTCCAAGAGAGAAAGACGAGTAAAACACAAGTAAAATGGTCATTTATTGTCATTTGTAAACACTTAATATTTCTATCTAATCTGTGAAATGTTGAGCTACATCCTTCTTCGTACTAGTTTTGACTACGCGAAACTCGGATCCAATGCTACGAAGTAACCAGTAAATCACCGACAAGTTCTCCGATCAACAATTACTTGTAAGTATGCACCTACTTACAATTGAATCTCCACTCTCCAATCTTGAAAATATTGCTGGAAATCGGTCGTTAGAAGAAGAAGAAGAAGAAGATGGTGATGTTGTTGTCGGCATTGGGATTGAATAAGTACTCAAACTTCTCCAGGCTACTCCCCGCCGGAGCTGGCCGGCTGAGGGTTCTTCTCATCACTCCTTCCTCACTTACCCTCCCTTCTTATTACTCTTCTAAAGTGAGTTAATTTGAACGGAGAAGACAATATACTATCATCGGTTCCTTTCCCGGCGGTTTGATTGTGTGTTCTTTTTGTGGTTTAAGAAAACATGTTTAAATTTGCATTTAGTTGCTAGGCAATATCAAACGTCTAGTCTCGGAATTCCACGGTAACTTAGGAATAAATAAATAAAATAAAAAACACATCAATAAGACATTTAGGTGTTGCCCAGGGATAATTAGAGTGAGCTAAGTAGTCCATATCAAAGGGGGAATAAACATAATTTCTATCAATAGTTTCAATAGCTCAAGATTGTATGAACTTGTGAGCTGTTTTTCTTGTTGTTAAAGTGTTAACTAAGTTATTTATTATTCGAATTGAAATATAAAGTGTTATAAATTGTTATTTCAATCATTATGAGTATAAAATGCTAATTTTGCTCTCAACGCCAAAACACACTTGGACGACGCTTAATTAAGAGAACTAATTGTTAAGCAAGATCACAATGTCGTCCTTCCGCCTAACACCTTTTTAACCTTGGTTCTTTCTGATATTTATAATTTGATACTTCCTTGGCAGGAAGAGGCTGAAGATGACGAAGAAAAGGCAAAGCAATCCGGCAAGAAATTCAAAGAAAGGTTAAGCGACGTCAAGACTGCGGCCAAATTCGTCAGAGATGTCGCCAATTCCGACACTGATTCGGTAAGCTTGGTCCCTCTGTTACATAGTTAAGGCCAGTGAGCTCAGACTGCGTCTTGGCCCAGGAGTGAGTGGGCTCTGGGCCTTAAGTAGTGGGCTGGTGGAGTGGGAAGTGGATTGGGAGTCTGAGCCCAAAATAAGAGTAGGGATAGGAAGCGAGGAGCATACGATAAATTTCGGCAGCATGTTCTTTTTAGCTTGATTATTCCTAATTCAAAATCATCTGAAATCTAGAAACTCCCTGAAAATCATAAGAATTCAATAGCTTATGAGATTATGGGGTGGTTTGGTTTTGGTAATTGTTTGGTTGGGATAGTTACAATTCTTGTATTGTCCATAATACATCATCTTTTTGAATTTTCTGCACAAATAATACATTCATTGTTTGCTTGATTTGACATAAACTATCACTCAAAATGAGTGATAATTAAATCTCAAATTTTTTTGTGAGATTGTTGAGATTGTTTGATTGAGATTGTTGTGCTTTATTTTCTTCCAACTATGTCCCTACCTTTTTATGTGTATTGCTTTTTTATATTAAGGGTAAAAGTAACATTTCACCCAAAAAGTAATATAACTTATTTAAATAACACAATAACTATCACAAAAACCAAACAATGTAAACTACAATACACCAATTTTCATATATACATGTATATTATTATGCATGCATTGATGAAAATGCATCTATTTTATTTAACTATCACCAAAACCAAACTACTTACGTCTTTAACCAAATGAGAGTATTATTATCATTTGATTACTTGCAAAATTTGGGGGGAAAAGCTCAGTACAAAATGGACAAAGACACCAAGGAAACAATCACGAAAGTGAAAGAGGCAGCTGAGACTGTGAAAGACGGGGTGAATGACGTGAAGAAGACCACCAAATTTGTGCGCAACATTGCCTCTTCCACGGCTGACACGGTAAATTAATTCCTTTTTACTTTGACCACAAAGTTCCCCACTCTTATCACTCGGGTTCAATATGAAACCTCTTCCTCGTTTGGTTTGGAAATGATTAGGTGAAGAAGCTGGCGAAAGAGGCTACAGACAAAGTATCAAACTCGGCGATTCAAGGCACCACTGAAATCGTCAAGGACAAAGTGAAAGGGAAATTTGATTGAGCCGTTTTGGGTTTCCATTTGAACCGAGGAAAATGTACACTTAGATGTATCACGTTCCTGATTCATATGACATGAGGAAAAGATATTCAATTTACTTCATGATTGATATAAAGTCCTTAGATTTATAGAAATGCCCTGAAAAACCTACCACACCAATCATATCACCCACAAAAATGATGGATTCATATAGAAGCATAGCATAAATCTGAACCATTTGAGCGAACATCCAGAACAACATCTAATGATGTTAATTAAACGTGTGTGCAAGACTGAGCCAAGAAATAAATTTCTAGAGGAACAAAATATAATACCTTACCATGTTTCCTTTCACGGCTGGAGTGGCAGAGTATTTGATGCTTATAACAAGTCAGCCCAATATAAAATCAACAAAACAATTATTATTATTATTATTAGAATAATTAAGACACAAGTTTTTTACTATTGCATACGAAGAATCCGGGGTTACCTTATTAAGTTGGGTTACTGTTCCTAAACGTCCTTTTAAATTCTCTGCGGCCGGGTGTACTGTACCGCATGCAAACCTCCTGGTCGTTGGTCGAGCATCTCATTTGTTCAATCTCTTTATAATTCATGTGGCAGCCTGTGCACTTTACCCCGTATGAGCCCATGGCAGCTTCCCAAGCATGTCAATGTTTTACTCTCTTCATAATGAAAGTGCTATACATTAGGTTGGCCAAGAAAATAAAAAATGATCCTTCTTTTTCAACCATAAGTTTTTAGACAATTACTTGATAGTTTTCATTTCATATTACGACATAGTTTTTCAACATCTCATCAATTTGCATTATGATTTTTTTAAGGTAAATTTTTTATTGTACTTTAATCAAATGAGACTTTTCATAACTTGATTTTATTATAATACCACACTTTACGAAAGATTTAGGTAACATCATTCTATAACAATTACACACCTTACAAATACCTTAAGTAAATCTCACAGATGGATAATTGTTGATTATTTATCACAAACATATTATGTAAGTCTTTCACGGTAGTATTTTTAATGAAAACTCCAAAATTTATTAACTAAAATGACGATCTCATCAATTTACAAGTTTTGTAAGATAAGTTATTTTTACATATAGTTTAATCAAATGTGATACATTTCATAACTTAATTCATTTATTAGCTAAAATTTCTTTGTTAGTATAATTATATTCATCACACCAATTTGAATTAGTCAAATTAAAGTTTTTGTAGTCTAATCAAATATGAGACATATCTGTAATTTAATTTCATTATTAGACCATATGTTATAAATAATTCTTTCTATAATAATTTTAAAACATATTACCTAGAACTTATGAAGGTTGAAGGGATTATTACTTTTCGTGTATCAATCAAACAAACATAGTACGTAAGCCTTTCGTAAGACACTAAGTAATTGATGAAAGTGTATTAATTGAACTATTTTGTGAATAATTTTATTTTAGTTATCATTAAATGAGTGAATAAAATTTTATTATCAAAAGAAATTATTACTTGATTACCGCCGCAAAGCGCGGGTCAAATAACTAGTAAGACAATGAAAAGCCAAGTTATGTGACACTGCAATGAGGTGCCTTGTATTCTTGCCTTTCATCTATATTAGTCCCACTCAGTTAGCATATGAACTGGAGGCAACACCATAAGAAAATATATGTGTCAATGACTTCCAACCCCCTTAGAACCTCCATTGGTGTAGCTAATCCTCCATTTAAAACCGGAGAATTTTGTAATTGGCGTCGAGGAACCAACAGTTGAGAACTTAACTAACCTATTGCTATTGGCCATCACAATTAGAAAAGTAAAATTCAGAGGAAGGGCATGCAACTAACAGCTTACGAGCAAAAACCAAACTCGATTCAACAACAACTACTTTCACCAATAGGAGGGAGATAGGAGAGGGCAGTTTGGATCGGGTGAAGGAGCAGGGAGATGGCACAGGAGGAGGAAACTGGGACGGGGGTGACATCGGTAGTCGAGGGCTTCTTCTGGTTCTGGATTGGGTGAGGGTTGAGAGGTGGCGGCAGTCTATTCAAGTTGGAGAGAGTGGCGACAATCAAGTGGTTTAGTTTAGGTGGATCGGGGGATGGAGAGGGTACGGGTACGAGTTAGGAGAGGGTCGGGTATGTTGAATGTAACGAGATTTTGCTTCAAACATTTTCAGTTCTAATAATACTCTTTTGTCATGGGGTTTCTGTGACAACTTTCTTCGAGTTACACCATCCGGGTCACGATGGTCTATATGAGTGGTGGTATTAGTCGGAATGAGTGGTGCAAGGTTTTCTCCCGACCACCAAGCATGGTTATTTAGTTGGATTAGTTCATAACGTTGCGATTCTGCTCGCTTACTTTTGTTGTAGTTACCTAGCAATATTTAATGGTCCATCCAAACTCAAGTTACTCCTATGGTCTGTATTTTTGTTATCTACTTTCTTAAACTTTAGGCTTTTCCATCCGAACTAAAAAATGGACATAACCCGTGGCAGAGCGCGGGCTGATTACTAGTATATACTTAATATGACAAACTTTGACGACAAAGTCACTACTTGTCACAACTAACATGGAGTTATGACAAACTAGGATTTCGTCACATTAGATTGTTTATTGTGACACGATAAAAATGACAACTTTTTTAGTTGTCATAATTGATGAAAATTGTTGTAGTATACGATTGCCAAACCCTAGTTAAATCATGTGAAGGGTTTCAGCCATATAAACAAAATGAAGCCTCAAAATACCCTAAGAAAATACTCAGTAATGATATAGAAATAAAGAATTTGTCTACCCTCGATTTAGGATTATTTACATCAAACGATAAAATCATGGTTCAAGAACACGATTCTTCTTACGCCTAGGGTGCTAGGCGATAATAAAAATTCTCGCCAAGATCTTAGGCAACAAATAAGGTGTTCATAACGTTGAAGCAGAGCTAGACAATGCCTAATAGTGATTAAGAATTGGCAATTGGAGGAGCGCTCAAGTGCATCTAGTGGACAAGGGGAGGGATAATGTAGCTACCTTCCCCAAAACAAATTCATCTCAAACTAACCCCTGAGGTGTCCTTCGGTCCTTACCTCAATTTGGAATCACAAATCGCGAATCTAGATTAGAAAGTTGCTTCTCTTTGTTGCTCATTCCATTCGACCGACCATCTGCCATGCTGCTCCTCCTTGTCATTGATTGCCAGTGCATAGTAACATAAGACCATAACTTCCTACCGCTCCAGCTCTTCAACATGCCCTCTGCCTTACAGGAGTTGCCACCGTTTGTCTTCGTCGATTATCGACACCCATTATTCAAAAGCCCACAAGCTTCTCCTTGTCGCTCCATTCTCTTTTGACCCGACCCTCTATCATGTTGTTCTTCGTCGTTGTAACAATGAGTGGCCAATATCCACAAGCTATATGTCCACACTCTAAATTTGCCACTTTTGATTCACAATTTTTTTTTTTATAAACTTGTGGTTCTAGTAAATTGTGACATATTTTGTGTGTTGTTAAGGGTAGCTAATTCATTAATCATGTGAAACTAGATAAATAAGTGTTATAAAACTGTTACTTCTACTAAAAATAGTTGCTTTCATTTCCAACGATCTAGGCATGGTCTAAGAAGCTAGCCATTAGGCAATACTCCAACACCTACCTTATCCCTAATGCTTTCCTGAACCTTGGTAAAAACCATTAAACTGTGATGTTGTGTGTTTGATTTACTTTTGGAAATTTTGATCTCTTGCATGGTAGAACAATAGATATAACCCTTTTTTTGGAAATCGACAAAGTTCATACCACCTTTTTTTTGGCAATCTAATTCACGATATGGTGTGATTTTTTTTTTTTATAATAAACAATTATGAAAATCAAGACCGATTCACAAACATAACTTATTCGCTCCTTGAGAACAACTAACTGGGGTTTGCAGATGAGTATCTTCGTTCATCCATTAAAATGTGTCGAGTGATCAATGTTAGGACAATGTTGTGACGCCAGTACTGAAGATCGCGACAAGGCAGGGGATAACCTGGCCCCTTTGAACAGAACAGAAGTCTGCACATGTACATTTTTTATTTTATTTTTTATCGTGTAATGACTAAATTGAGTTAAACATGATGGCGCAAGTCCCTATTTAAACCACCCTCCCAGGGATTGCTTAGCTAGTGTGATGTAAATGGTGCTGGGCCCTAGCTAGCACACATCACATGTAATGCTACCAAATTCCCAGAGCCCATCACCGCTGCACTTGTGGGCTTCCATTCCACCCCTTATGTTCATTCCTTTTTCCCACCGACGCCTTGAATATAGCCGTTGGGGACTTAATGGCGTTCTCTCCCCACTTCCCCCAAACCCAATTCTCACTGGTTGAGTTGATTACTCCAGAGTTAATTAATTAAGGAAGTTGCTTGCTTGCATTAAGAAGAATGTCGTGATTAGAAACAAGGACCATACGGAAGTTGATTTCGAGGTTTGGTTATAGGCCCTGAAGAGTTGGATTGATTAGCGAGAAAACAGGGTTTGATTGACAAGCGGGTGGAGTGGTGGGTTAGAGTGCACATGAATGAAACTATCATTAAAATGCACCCCAGCAGCTCAGCTCAGCTCAACAACCCTCCAACATCATTTCACATGCAACCCAACCCAACTCACCACCATCATTATCATCAATCATTAACACCCAGCAAAGCAAAGTCATAAAGCGTAAAAAGTAAAAAATAATTATGAAAAGGTAAAAAAAGGAGTAATGATCACTGCACTGCAATGGACAGATATAATTGAGTACTGTTTCTCTGTTCTGTCTCCCCTGCCGGGTTGTTCCAGTTTACAAGATTGCTTAAATTAAACTCCCCTTTCGTTACCAACATGATCATGAACACACATAATTTTGAGACAAATCACTATATATATATATATATTGCTTTCGTGTTAGTAAGTAAACTGACAATGGAAAAGCCCATGTTGCAAACATCCCAAAACTTACGCTGACGAGTAAATAAATCCTTCCTATACGAGGATGGGGAAAGGGACACACAGCTAGAACTAGAAAGAATAAGATGGTGGTTGATGTTTACTTCTCAACAGGAGTCACAATTGAAGGGAGAGAAGGAGAGCAGAATGACTGCAGACACCGACGCATCAAACGACTGACGACGACACAATCACATGGATGGATAGACAGACAGACAGGCAGACTTTGTTAGAAATGAAGAAGAAACACACTCCCGTCCCACATTTGTGACGGATCGAGGTGGACATACAGATCTGGACCACCAACGCTTCCGCGCCTGCTTCTATTACTACTATATATAGCACTTCTGCCTTGGTTTCTGGTTTTTCCGTTGGATCGAGGTTGACACCAAACAAGAAAAGATACACACTAAGCAATTCAATGGTGGAATGGAAGGGAGAGACAAGACAGGACAGCAACGTACGTATATAGTGACAATGTGCAAAAAATGTACACTTTGCCAGTAATGGTGATGGTGGGCGGGGAGGACGAGGGCTACAGCTGTGGTCCGAGGTTTTGCAGAGATGAAGAAGACGACGCCAAGAAACAATGACAGGCAGTGGAGTGGCAGTTGCAAGAAAATGGTGAAATTAAAAATTTGAAGTGCTTTTGCTTAATTGCTATATGGTGAGGTGAATTGGTGATGAGGAGGACTTGCCCAATTTTTGGGCAAAATTAAAAAATGGTGGGAAGGGAAGGGAAGGGAAACGAGAGGGTGTACTACTAGCTTAGGTAGGCTAGGCGCTAGCACTGGCGGCCCCGACGACAGCCTAGGGCACCGGCGTTGGAAGTAATGGATCCGACCATCGAAGAAGACTTGGCACCCAAGCTAGAAGCACGAGCGTAGCTTGCAGAAGCCCCTGCTCCCGACGGCGTGAAGTAAGCTCCGTTGAGCAGCAGGTCTCCCTCCGACCTCCAGTTCCAGCCCTTCCACACGCCCGCCGCCGTATCCACCCTCTTGGTCACCTCCTTGGCGAAGCGGTTGATGGGGGCGTTGTATCTGTTGCCCTGGCTGTTAATGGTGGGGTTGGCACTCCCTCCGATCGCGTACATCTCCCAGTGGGTGTAGTCATTGTTCACCACATGGAAGTACCCATGTCTACATCTGCACAAGATAAACATACAATTCATTCTCTAGTTACCCACCAAATAAAACAACAAGTTGCGTGGGGGCCAAGCCAAGCCAAGAGACTGGTAAGTTTGGAAAGAGGGAAATAAATGTTCACCTTGGCATCCTCTGGATGAGTCCCTCTCCGAAATGGTTGTAAGCGATGGTCACTTGCATTTGCTTGTCCCTTGTGTAAGAGTCACTATGCCCCAGCAGCATCACCTGCATCATTCATTTTGCAGATCACTAATCAATACTATCCACCGCACCGCAGGCAAACCAAAACACAAACCCCTTAGCTTTTTCCCTCACCTCGTTATGGTGGGTCATGTGGTTGTTGGATATGGTAATGGCGGTCGAGCCCATCACCGCATCAACCAGCCCATCAGCACAGTGAGAGAGCGAGTTGTGATCGACCCAAATGTGGCTAGACCCGAAGATGGAGATGGCATCTCCATCAGCCATGGTTCTCCATCCAAAGTGTGTCTCCGAGCTCCTCACCATGGCGTTCCCTGTGGGCTTGCAGTCATGGATGTGGAGGCCGTGGATGATCACATTCGTCACGAACTGGATGGTAATGCACCCTCCATTTGCGATGTGGACATTGGCACCACGGCCGTCGATCGTCTTGAAGCTGTTCATGATCAGTTCTTGCTTCAGTTGGATTACCATGTCCCTCTTGAAAACAATCCACAGCGGCCTGTCCTGGATCACAGCGTGGCGCAGGGTCCCCGGTCTTGGGTTCACAGGGTCGTCGTCTCTGGGATCGGTAACCACGTAGAACCGGCCATCACGCCCGCCAATGGCATTCCTCCCGAACCCAATCCCACAATCAGCAAGCCTCTTGCGGTTCTTCTGCCAGTGTGGGTCACAGCGCCAGCAATCATCGATGGGGTTGCCGGTTCCACAAGAGAAATACCCTAGTTTCCTCCTTTCAGTGCTGTTGTGGATGCTCCTGCAAAAGTAAGTAGGTGGTAATCAAGACAGCCAGGGGACCAAACCAAACCAATCCAGTTAGATATATGTACTAGTCATCATCGGCACACAAAATCAACCCAAGTTCATTCCAGTCAGTTAGGATCGATCAATAGTCAGTCAACAGTTAAAACACAAAGCAATAAATTAGATCACATTCCTTATCCACTTTCTAAGTGGTGTGGTACTGGTAAACACACTCTGTTATGCTTTGTGGATGAATTATTGCTGGCTAGCAAACCAAAGCAATTAGTGTATACACATGGTGTGTATGTGTCGGTGGTGGAGGGTACTACTCAGACTAAATTAGCTAGCCTTTTTTTCCTTTTCTTTTCTGCTATCCAATCCAACCCTATCTTCCTTTTAGCTCAACTTCCACAACAAGAGCAGCAAGAGAAAATAATGCAATTACCAGATGGAAACAAACAGATTGGCAGTATCTGAGTGAGAAGTAAGGACCATTACCAGCTAGCTATGCCATTGCCATTTGCCAATATATGGTTTTTAGTACACAAAGCCAAAAACAGGGTATGTTTACGTTACTTTTGTCCGGGTATCAATAAAATAAGCTTAGCCGAATGAAAATGTCACAATCAAGATAACGTTAAAAACTCTTTTCTCTTTTCACCCTAAGCATGTTCAGTGATGAATGAACCCACCCACGCTCAGTTCTCCCCGTTCCGTTCCAACCCCCCAAACTGAGCCAATAAATTACTACTGGACAGAACATGTCAGCAGGGAGAAAATTATCCAATCAGATATTCTGGATATAAAGATACATGCAAGAAACAGATAGACTAGGCAACAAAAGCATATCTCACCTCACGCTGCCACCAGGTCGAGTGGCAGGTAAGAGAGATAAACAGCATGAAGAAAAAGTTGTAAAAAAAAAAATTAACAAAAAAGATGAGGGAGTGCAGCAGCCGAGGAACGTGGTTTCTGATATTTTCTTGCCACATTGGTAAAGTGAGGGAGTTTCTTTCACCAAAAAGGCCAATCCAGCAATGGAAGCAAAAGAGAGCCAGCCAAGAACCCTGAAACCCCCTCATCAATTCCCCCCAAAAAAGCTCTCTAATCGCAGATGTACAGTAATAGAAGCAAGCAATGCTCAGCCAGAGATTGAAAATTGCGATGGTAGAAAGGATCGATAAATGGGTGAATTGCAAGAAACAGAGTGAGTAAGAGAAACAAACGTACATTTCCACCATTGAAACCACCTCTTCTGGGTCCTGAACAGCATGCTCCTTGTTCCCGGGTGCATCATTAACCGCTTCTTCTCCGGTGCTGTCAAAAAGCAGGAAGAGGAGGACCATGTAAGGGAAAAGGAGTACTGAATACCACAATCGAAATGAAAAGCAAAAGCTACATCAGTAAAAAGGTAAAACAGCATGCATCATTCCATTCAGTCGTCTACCGTAGGTGGACACGTGTCACCGACCACTTGAGAGGAGTAGGGACAGTAAAAAGTTGAAACGGCCATAGCCATAGGCGGAAGTGATAGAAGAAGAGTGAGGGAAGGGAAGGGTGTCCGTTTGGGATATTGTGCCTTCATTTCCTGCTTGCTTAACCTACACAGCCACTATCGTCACATGGCCGTCGCCCGATCCTAAACTAAAACCGTTTAAACTAAGGCGTTCTCTTCTAATTCGCGGTATAATTAATTAATTAATTTATTGCTAAACTACACCTGCGATTAATAAATGATCATGAATTTGCCCTGGAATTCTTGAAATGGAATTTAAGTCGGTTGGGGGTAAAAAGACTGAAAAGGCTACTGCGAGAGAGCAGCGAGAAAAAAAAAGGAAAAGAAGGTTCCGCTCTCACCTTCCGCAACTAAGGAATCCAAGAAAACGAACCGTAACTGAATAAACGATCCAGATCTAAGATCCATTGTAATCAACGGCACAGAACAGATTCTACGATGCATGCGGTTATCCGCCGGACACCCAACATTAATGCAGCAAGCAAACCCCCATCTAACGGTCCGGGAAAGCACAATGCGCACAGACTAACGGATCAGATCAAACGGAAGTAAAGGAGAGAGGGAGGATTCATAAATGAATTCCAGCTACTTTAGCAGCGTGTTTTTTTTATTTATTTTTTGGCTTTAATTAATTACCTAGCCTCCATGGAAGGGTTGCTCGAGCTCTGCAACGCCTCAGTTTCCACATTCCTGTACAGAGGAAGAAGAAGAAGAAAGAATAAAAAACAAAAAATAAATATACAGAGTCTAGTTCTAGTCTAGTATGAATCAACTCAGGGTCGGGGTAGCTCAACAGTGTCGGTGCAGTTAAGGCTATTACATTCCAGCTCTCACTTTCTGTTCCTATTTACGGAAAACCAACACAGGAAAGGGCAAATAAATGAAGAGGAAAGGCAAGTGATGGGAGGCCTTGTAAGAGAAGCCGCCATTAATGCAGGCGGTTAACAGAATTAATTGAGATTCGGTGAAATCCTCATTCTCCATAGCTCTGTACTGTTCGATCTCAGACACTATTGTAAAGAGCTCCGGAATGCAGTTCAAATTTCACAAAGAAACAGTCCAAACATTCTCTAAAGACCAAGATTCGCTTCACAATGCGTCAGTTCAATACCTGGTTGTGGAACCTTCCTTGAGAAAATAACTAACTATACCACATTCTCAGCTAGGAATTTGTGCGTATCGTAGCTAGAAACTCTACTTACTGGACGGAAAACAAATCTGAAGAGCAGAAGCAAACTGAACTAGCTGGGAATTTCGGAAATTAGGACGAGAAAACATAGTAGAACAGAGCAACAGAGCTCGCTCAATTAAGTCGTAAGAAAAGGGGGGAAAACTACAAACACGAGTGTAGAGTGCGAATTGGGGGAATGTAGGAGACGATTAGCTAGTAGAGAGAGCAGAATTCAATGGAGATTGAAAATGCATATCCGCGTACCGAGTCAGAGCAAGACCGGAGATCCCGCCATTCCGAGCAGTGGCCGTAACTCCGACGACCATCACCACGACCAGCACCGTGCACAGGGCGAACCATCTCAACGCCTCCGCCATTGTTCTCTCTCTCGCTCACGATCTCAATGTGTGGAAATCCCGGCGACAATTGCAGAGAAGGAGGAGACAGCAGACAGAGGTGGGAAAAGGAGAAAGCAGAGTGTGTAGTCAGAAGAGAGCTGCAACAAAACGACCTTTTTTATAGACAGACTGCCTCAGTGCCTCCCATTGGAAGAGTAGGGGAAAAGGGCAAAAACCGTAAACGTTTGCAGTTGACGCCGTTAACATACCACAAACGTTAACGTTTCGTGAAATTCCCACTCCGTTTCTCAGCCGTTTGCCCTGGTTAAGTGGTTGGTTAGGTCTCGTTTGTATTATTAGGTTTATCTAACCGACCTAACCCAACCCCACCCGGTAACTAACTCCTTATTGCAGTTGTTTGTTAACCACTCTAGTTTACGCCTTACGGGAGCCGTTGCCACCGATTCCGCACGTGTGAGCAGTAACCGCCGTTGCCATCTTCTCACGTGCCGGAGTAAATCCCGTCTATAGGGGATAAGAATAGAGATCATTACCGTGGGAGGGAGTAAGGTAACTAACTTCCAATAACGATTTAACCGCATGGGCGCCACGTCAGCGAGACGGTTACGGTAGAATTGGGTGGGTCCCATCCTTCTCCCTCCATCGAGTACGGAAGCAGGAGGTCACAGTTTCCTGCTAATTTTGCGGCAAGTTAACCACACCAAAACTCAATTGCGTGCATAATTAGTGAAGTTCTTTCTCCCCGTACGAATCAATTATTATGGCCTGGGTTCCGATACAAAACCCCGACCTACATTACCATGTACGATGATATGATCGGGTTTTGCAGACTGGAGTTTTATACCATATTCGCTCCCATTAATCATTATTAATCTCCCGTTATCTAAGTTAATATTATGGCTTGTGAAGGCTAAGTTATATCAGACAAGTTGGCGAAATGATAGTCAATGGTATAATCGTGATTTAATCGATAACATGTTGATCTTAATATAAGATTATACATTATGTCAACCAAAATTTTCGTATATTATGAATTCACAATTTAATCACATTGTACTAGCATGTACAGACTTGTATATATGTGTACCGTAACAATCTAACTAACTTTAAGTATTATTTTTTGTGGTTTGGTTGTCGATACTCGATACAGTATCGCAAAGACACAAAGTATGAGAATTATAAGTCGGTCTCATTAATAATTACAAGGTTTACAAATTATTTGCTAATTCTTCGTTAACCACCAATATTACTTGCACTCAAATTCAGATTGTACATTAAACATGCGGTAGCTAACTAGCTATTACTTATTAGTAAATTACCATGATGTTGTTCTGTTGCTCTTTTTTAATTATTGCATTTATTCATCGGTTGGTGCTAATTCTGGTTTAATGTTGTTTTACCTTTTCTGTTGGGGGCGGCAATCACGGCCATTTGAAAGAGTTTGACCCTTGGCGGGCGGACAAGCTTCAACCTCTGAGAAGTAAAGAGGAACGAGGGGAAGAACAAAATCAACTCCGCCGAAAAAGCCACAATTAAAAAGTTGCAATCATGTTCATTCGTTCTCTTCGTTTTTTTCCCTTTTCTTCCAATTCTATTACTTGTTGCTTTTCTTCCATTCCATTGCTCCTCTGTTTCATTCATTGTCGTCTTAAAAGAAAGAAAGAAAGAAATAAATAAATAAAGGAAAATATAAATGGAAGGACTTTTGTTCAAAGTTTTACCAAACAGAAGACCCTAAACATGTTCAAACAGACCTAATCATATGCGAAGATAGCGTATTGTCTTCATTTTCTCCCTACCTCTTTCCTCTTCATCGAATTCAGCCGGCTTGTATTGTCATTTGGATTAGAGACATTTTCAAGCTTTTGAAAAATTAGTAAATAAGGGTATTCAGTAAGTCATACACTGGTTTGCAATGAATCATCGTAGAGTTTCATTGTTGATTTCTACTAGAAGACTTGACCTATGACTGGAGAGGAAGGCTTTTTGTATTAAGTGCATTGGGGATTCCTTTTCAGTTTTCATGGCAATGTCCACAATGACATTTGCGTTCATTGGTTGGATTCAAATGTGTGTACAAACTACTCACTTGACCGTAAAATGTTAATAGAGATTTTTGCAGCTTCTAACAACAAAAATGAGTTGGGAGAAATGAAACCCTAGAAGTCTTGGATGTTTCTCATTAATAGTTGGGTTTAAATACACAAACTTGGTACTACAAGACAAATCGTATCAGCTTGCTTTTGGAGAACAATCAACATAAAACCAACATAACAACTCATACTAAAGTCTAAGGCCCCGTTTAGTATCGATTTGTTGTTGTTGTGATTGCAGTGGCGTTGTGTAAACAGATATACAACCACAACAGGGAAAAAATAGAAAATAGAAACCTGTTTAGTTGATAATATGAAAAATAATGAAAGCAGACAACAATAACAAAAACGCGTTCAGTTACTACTATTAGAACTAAAAACCAGAAAAGTGAGGAGGCGGCGATGGGGTGAAAAGATTCGCAGTCGGCGGGGAATCTAAAGGAGGTGGCGGGAGGAAAGGGAGGCGACGGGAATCGAGAGGAGGAGGCGACAGGGGAAAAGCCAGGCGGCGGGGGAAAGGATTCGAAGTCGGCAGCGGGGGAAAGGGAGGCGACGGGAATTGAGAGGAGGAGGCGGCAGGGGTTGCAAGGTCGGGCGACAGGGTAAAGGGAGACGGCGGGGCAAAGGGACGAAATCGGCGGCGAGGGGGGAGATGGACGATATCGGCGACCTGGGTCTCGAGAGGAAGAAGTTGAGAGAGGGAGGGAGCTGTTGGGCGGCGGGTTTGGGAGAAAATGAGGGTAGGGTTGGCCGACTAGGGTTTGGAGGTGGGTTTGTGAGTTAAAAAAAAGAGAAATTTTTTGCTTTAGGTGGGATTCGAATTGAGGGTTATTTTAATGAAAACAAACGGGAATCCCGTGTAAAACATGTAGAAGAATCAAATCCAAAGCAATAAATTGTTGTTTCTCAAATTTGGGCCCTGTTGTGCAAATCTGATTCACAACAAAAATAGAAACCCAACTAAACATGTTTTTTTTCTTGGTTTCTCCAATCTTGAAAAACACAACAGAAAACAAAAACAGGCAACAATACTAAACAGGGCCTAAACATTGACAATAAACTAAACTTGATGATGATAGCTTCCTCTAAACCTTGTCGATCCACTTTGACATTCATGGTCGCCGGTTTGAGTCTTGACGATCTTTCAATATCTCATGTTAGCTTCCTGTCGGCTCAAAAGGGTTTGTGGCAAGGTGACCCTTTATCACACTATCTCTTCATAATAGCCACTGTAACATAGATATTGTTTGCTCGTCACAATTCAACTGCAACTTTCTAGAGTCTCACATACTGCCGTAATATAAGAATGTCAATCTTTCTTGTATATGGTTCACGAATTATTATCTTTACTATAGGCTCAATGCATTTTATCGGTCAACCAGTATTGCCTATTCTCTTCTCGGTAGCATAGGGATTTATATTGGGACATCATATCATGCCAAGTGTTTTTCCATAAAAAATAACTCGTACCACTTTGACTAATAATAATATATTTAATTGATTTATAAGGCTAGCTTAATATTAGATATTAAATGAGCTAACTAGATATTATTGGGTTGGATTTTTGGGCCTAAGTGTCAAATTCCCTCTTCCCGATATAGTGGTTGACCGCCCTCGTGGCCTTTATAACCGATGTCACCTCCTCATTGTAACAAGTCATTTGGTATGAAATATAGATCTAAAAAAACAACTAAGTAACCGTACAAACTTGTTAGTTAGGCAACAAGGTAGCGATCCGGAAGAGCATGCTTGGTAGGCAGTCAAGAGGGTACCAAGACGAAAATACATACTTGGTAGCAAGATATGAAATTTTACTAAGTGGAGTCTTAGTGTGTAAAGGGGCTAAGTTCCCATCCCATCAAGATGGGTAACAAGGCCTAGCTAATAGACGAGTATAGAAAGCCGCGAAGAGGCGAGCTAGGTAATGAGACAAAGATGGTACTAAGTCAACATCGAAGGAACTAAGTATGGAATCATCATGGTTATTATGGTTGCTAAGAAGACCCGATAGGAGGGCCAATGTGATGGAGACAAGGCGAGAAGACCTTAACCCCATTCGGTCAGGACGAGGCGAGAGGCCATCAAGCTGACACCAACTGTCACCAAGGTGCGATGAGAGACTCCGAAGCAGTTAGAGTAGCAGGCCAGCTAGCAGTTATAAGGGCAGTTACACTTGATGGTTATAAATAGGATAAATGAAAACTGAAAAAGGGTTCCGCAACCAAACATTTGACTCCCAATATCAAACTTTATCTTTTCTCTGCAAATTAGCATTGTTTTTAGTTTTTGGAGCTTTCGCTAAACCTCCATAAGAGTAGAGTAACGTAACTTAGCTTGTTTGCAATAAGTCAAATGTGCATTTGTTCAGTTCAAACACAAGAGTTTCTTCGATAGAAAACACCAAAGTTGAGTACTATGCTGATCATCTTCAATCTGTATCCTCAATCTTATGGTACTAAGATGATAGCTAAATAACCTACTTAACCATTGAAAATCAAGCTTTATGTAAATAATACTCAAATGCATTAGACTGAAATTTGAATAACACAGTAGGCAATTCGTGAAAAACTCACAAGTCCAATTCTTTTCCTGTTGCAGGGCAAATAGTCACATCCCACTTTTTGTTTATTTTTAATTACTTGTAGTATGCATGGTCCATGGTTTATCATCATTAACTCACATGATTGAACAAAGTGGGTGAGGCAGGGGAAGGTGGGTGAGGAAACAATTAACCGCGATTAAAAAAAATTCACAGAAGGCCCACAGACAAACTAATAAACCCTAATCAAAGCCCTTTGTCACTGATGGAGAAAAAAGGTAAAAAGATAAAACCATTAATTTTGCCTGCCTTCGAACTCAAGCAATACACAGAGAGAGAGAGGCAGATCCCTTTCGTTTTAGTTTTTATTTTATTTTATTATTATT